AAGAATATTCATAGTGATTACATTGCTTGTGATATGCCCTTTGCTGAGTTTCAAGAACTGTGTAATGAAACGTATAAAGTACCTTATAGTTTTGTGTTGATTAATAAAGATGAGCACCCCGGTTCTGGAAAATATTTCAAAAATTTAAATCAATTATATATTCCACAGAAGTATTTTTCAGGCAACCGCTCTAGGTTAAGTCCTGAGTTTTCGGTTAAAGAATGCTCAATCGGGGTAAATGATCGTTAAGTCGTGATTCGGGAGTAATTGGTTAATTGTGTTGGGCAAGATTCATGATCAGTACCCTGTTAAGCTGTTTATACAAATTCGGGGGTAATTGTTCGTAATAATATTGAAGGATCAGGGGTAATTAGGTAATTTTGTTGGGTAAGATTTGAGGGTAATTGTTCGTAATAATATTGAAGGAGGTTTTATTCAGGAGTAATTGGGTAATTTTGTTGGTAATATTCGAGGGTAAGATTGGGGTAACCTATGATTTAAGCTGTTTATGGAAAATGGCGCCATGCGCTCGGTTATGTAACTACTAACAGGCTTGGTGTGATGCTTCTGCCTGCCTATAAAAATGTATAGTACAAGCAATTTCTGCTGGATTTCAGGTTTCCGCTATCGGTTTTAATTCGGCCGCAAACTAGTTGGTATTGAACCGATAAGTTTGATCCTAAGGCAAATCTGTTTATGTGAAATTTTAACGGAATGTCACACAAGGTAGAGGAGTAAATATTTGACTGATAATGGTAATGACAACGATACGTACCTCATCTCCTGGTTCAATGGATCCCAAACTATAGTACACGTATCATTAGGACTTGTCCGGCACGTATGGGCCATTTTAGTGGCACGTGAACACTTTTGTAGTAATTAATGATTTTTAGTAAGCAAGTTATTCATTCTCTACGCAGAAGAATATACTACATAATTATCTGATTAGGATTTGGATCGCATGACACACGTCAGAATCAGCGCAGATATTATTTCAACTTCTGTTTACTTCAACAGTCACATCAGGTGCACGGATATTTCTGAGCGTAACCTTGAAAATTTTTGAAAGTGGCGGCATTACATTCGCTAACGAACCTAGTTCGAGCTCCTGCCATCCAACTGATATAGTGTTGAGGTTCTCTTGGATTGAGCCTCAATATTACGGAAATGCACTCACTGGTACGACTGTAAATTAAAGATGTGAAGGGTGTTAAGATCCGTTGAAAGCTATGTTTGGTCTTAACATTATCTGATCAAAGCATTAGATTTCCGCAATCAATTCAGCAGTCTACTGCAGGCAGTCGACATGACGTGGCGGCGAGCCGCAACGGCAGCGCTTCTCCAATTATCGAAGTTCGATGAAGAGCATTGGACGGACATTAACTATAAACGAACTAGGCTGAACGTCGTAGCAACAAGCCAGTGCTTTCCAGCGTCTGGTTGAGCTGTCGAATACTTAGATTATGCAAGATGTTCAAATAGATAACGAACTACGGAAGAAGTTTTTGTTAGATAGCGCGCTCGTAGAAAGAATACCATTTTCTGTCCAATCGTTAATTATATATTAGTATGACTGTCCGCATTTCCCTACATTTATACACTTTTAATGTTATATTGCATTGTTCACAAAATTAGAATTTCTTAAACGATAGTATTTTAGAGATGACATTATTTATCTGAAATATTACAGCTTGTCAGAGGATACCAAGCCAGAAACCAAGCCGTAAATAACCAACTAAAACCATGGGAGATGCACCGAGTTCTAAAAGGTGGTGACTGGAGAATAATATTATATTTTCTATGATGGTGCATCGATGGGGGATCAATGATGTCTCCGACGATGTCCCGCATTTCCGATGTCACTCTTCCATCGATTATAGGCGACGATATCAACTTCCTTCGACATCTCATCTCTGGCTGCCTCTCTCATTTATGAGATAACTTCGTTACTACATAGCAGCGATCGACGCCTATAATCTACCACATGAGCATGAGCTTTCATGAGTTACCTATACACGTACAATCAAATTTGTTAGTATGCACGTAGCAAGTATGACACTTATTAATTAGAGGATGGGCTTCAATTTCGGTGAGATGTTACAGAAAAAAATATGTCAAACGTCATTAACAAATAACACTGCGTTTCAATGGACAATGACATTGAAATGCCTCGTAAGGAACGTGAAAATCCAAAATTCCATCCAGGAAATTCTCTTTTAAAAGTAAAAAAAGACCAACGTAGGAGTTGAGAAACGTGACTACAGCAAGCGGGCCATCATCTCGATCAGTATCCACTACAGCGGCTCATGAATAAACTTCCCCGCTTCGTTCTCTCGATTGCTTGGTGATATGCCGTCGAGTGTTGATCGAGTATCAGTGCAGTTATAAGTTGCCTTCGATCATCCAGGTGCTCAGTAAGCCAGCGCTTCTCCAGCATCAATTTGTAAATCGCCACTCAATCCTAAAGAGGATGCGATCTTTACTATAGCGTAAATTTTGTTTGGTAGAGAGTCGTCAAGCAAACTTTAAATTTTAAAACATGAAACCCTTTAATATATAAACCCCCTATAATAGTTCAACTAACATATTCGTTGTAAAAGATACCTTTCAGTTGCATCAGTTCTCGTTGATTGTAATTATAATATCTTTCCCTCGCCAGGTCTTGTGAGGAGTCGAGATGGCGGCAGAGGTGGAGCGCCTGCCTACATGAACCTGCCGTCGCCCAACGTCGCGGCTGAGGTAACATACATGAATAATTATTATCTTCCCATAAAACTGGGAAATTATTCACAAATAAAATATAATGTGAAATTACGGTGGCAATTCGGTAAATTCGAATGCATTTCTAAGAAGCAGTGATCATCTTCCCGAACCAATTTGCTGAGAATTGATTCAAGTTCGCGTTTACAAAATAGATGCGAGTAAATGAAGGAGCGCAAACTTTGAAAACCAAATCTCAATTTGACTGGCATTCTGAATGTGATGAAATGGTTCTAATTGATATTTGGCGACCGTGACAAAAAATTTTTAGACATGAATGAATCTGACTATTTTGATGATACCCGGCAGTAAAGCATGTGAAAAAAGCATACTATTATTTATTTTTATCAATTCTATTACTGGTATTAATATTTTTATTATTATTATTAATATTATTGTCAGTAGTATTAGTAGCATTATATTAATTATTAATATTGTTGTTGTTGTTGCTCAACAATGATTAATGATTTTCCGTTAAACTTGCTGTTATTGTCATTGTTGTATCTTTCGAGTTGTACTAAATTTTCGCAATTCCCTTAGGAGGAACATGTATGCGCGTTATAACAGACAGGCGGCACTTCGAATAAACTTGTAGTAAACCCAGTAACCATTCCTTTCATAATTGAAAATTAATAATTCTATGACTTTAAAATAATGAAAACTTGAAAAAATATGAGTTTCATAAATTTTTTAGTTTAGGTCGCTAGTTTGGATCCTAATTTCTACTCAATTATGGATAAGGTGATAAACAACTTCAAAAATTTGAAACTCGATAAATTTGGTCAGCTTCTGAAAGATTGAATAACATGCAATACGTTTTAATGCAATGAAAGAATGGAAAAGCTTCCCACTTAAAAACTTGTGTGAAGTTAGATGGAACCTGATATTATGCATTCTATGAGTCGTTTGAATGCAACATCGAGAAGAAGCAGGCTTAAAACAACGTGACGTAGCACCCAGCAATCTATCGCCAAGCTTACATTTCTGTACAATTTGAAAAACGCCCTTAAGCTGAATTTGAATGGAAATGTTGCGGTGTGCAGAGGAAACTGTCGCTGAAATTTGCAATTTCACTAGAACTGAGCTAACCAAATTTGAAATGCAAGGGGATTATTTTTAGTTCATGGCTCCAACGACAAAAAGCCAGAAGCTTTCCTCAAATCGATGGTTTGTAGCGAAGCTGAATTAGAACGTTCATCTCCTCTTGTGACTGGGTAGCCTGCCTTAATTAGAGACCTAGTGTGCAGCTTAATGTACTGGACTGTCGTGCTCAAAAAATTTTCATGCCTGCTCCAGTTTACGATTGTCTCACTAAACTTTCAAACCATTTGCGGCACTCCACTAAATCGTAATTATTTAAGACTAAAAATTTATAATTATGGGCATTCTAAAAATTCCAACCATTTGTAACGTTTCATTTCATGATCCACTGATTATTTACGCGAGAAATCAAGTCCCCCCGCTCGATACATTCCACGTACAGCTTTCGACCATTTCGAAAGCAAACTTCGGTTTGGCCGAATGGCAAACAGTTCATTTTATTTTAGATCTGTAGCTAAACTAGCGTCTGAAGCACCAGACTTCTTACCGTGGCAGTGAAGTTTAGACAACAAATTTAAAGTTGAAAAGAAGTTGAAAATTTTAAATTGAAAAATTGACTGCGAAATTTCTCAATCTGATTTTAACAGAAGCGGAAGCTTCCCAGTTATGGGACGGTGGCACGAACTATGAAGGATGAACAATACATGAACAATACAAAGGATTCCGTAAAGTTCATTTACTTTCAGTCTACGAAATGGAAATTTACTGAGCATAATATATGAGATATAGAGCAGACTGTATGTATTATATCTTGTATGTCCTTCGTCAGTAGTCAAACATGAATAATTTATTGTTGTATTCTAGAATAATATAATAAGCAACAATCATTGAGTATAAACAAGAGTTATTCTATAAATTAGAAGCAAAAAAATAATGTCGAAACTCAAGTACTAACCTTTTATATATCTTTCGCATGCAATGAGGTCAGTTCAACATAACAAATCACTTAGAAATGCTTTGCTTTACCTTCATTTCGGTTCCAGTAATTGTTTTAATTTGTTGCTTGTGAAGAGTATTCATTTCATGCAAACAAATGTCTTCGCGCAAATGCGCGAATTTCAATCAAGTAGCAGTACGAAAGAATTTAACATAAGCTAATGCTTGCCTACATAGAAATGTTAACATTTATTGCAAATATTTGATTAGATAAATCGGTAAGAAATAAAACCTAACTGCAATGCACGCATGCATAATTCAGTTACATTTACTCATTTCTTTGTTTAACATGTGAAGGAGACTCTCATATAAAGAGTTATGTTTGTTTGCATCCACTCATGGAATGCTACGTAAATGAATAGAATTACGACTAAGCCCTTTGTCAATCAACAGAAATGAAATTTACCAGGCAATTGAACATAGAATTAAGATTCATAATACTTTACCGCAGAGATACCATCTAGTAAGAGTTCATGCAAATAAGTTCGTAGAAATATACTTTTATCGACCATACGCTGTCAGAAGTTGCAGTGTTTCATCCGCACACACGTACAACAGATTAATGACATCGACTTGAAAATTCTACACTATATATGAACAATTGGTAAAAATTCTTGATACTGCTGGCAAGTCGGGTAAGATGCATCAGTAAGTTAGCACGATGTGTAGCGAGTCAACATTTTAGTATCATCCGGCATTACATAGTATGGAGCGAGATGCTTGGGACGAGCAATATACAACATCTTATTAGAGAGCGATGCTCCCATATCCCATCTTTTGAATGGTCTTCACAAACGACAGACAAATGTTTCCAATTACAGCTTTGCGGATTATGGAAAAAGTACCACATTTCCGATTTCTGAGCGTGGACTTAAGCACTGCAGGAATGGTCTAATTGCTCTAGGGAATGAACGTTCAACAATATGGAGGACTGCATTACTGATTAAATCAATTGATGTTGTTAATAATTAACATAATGGTCGGCTGGATAAATTTTATGTTCCGTGAATACCTTGTTGTGAAGTTGATCACATATACGATGTAATAAATGGTAGGAAGTCTTTTATAACAGATGAAAATGAGATTGGTCACACTAACTCCAAGCTACAAAGTATGTCCGACATTTTATAGAAAATGACCACAGGACTAATGATAGAAGATTCCATTTTCTTGATATTTTTAGCTTGTCAGATCTTATTTCTTACATCACAATGTTCTAGAAATTATTTTCATGAACGTCTTGTACATTTGTTGCGCTGCAGGAAGGAGAACAGCGACTGTTTACGAAGGACGGCGGGCCTCCAGCGTCGTGTTTGGACCCACGCGTGCGCTGCTCCACCGGCCACCACGAGGAAGCGTCGGACTCCGACACGGCAGCGGAGGAGGCGGGCCCTCCCCCGTCCTCCATGACCCGGCGGGCGGCTCTCGTGCCTCCGAAGCTGCTGACGGACGGCGCGCCTTATGATGAGTCCGAGACCGAGCCTTCCAGGCCCGCCGGCGGGTGAGTGAAGACCGTCCTGGCCCGTTCATCAGCTTTCTTATTTCTTTCTTTTCAATATTTTCAACATATGGCATCATCTCAACACGACATATTCAGTAGAAGTAACGTAGCATGAACTTATGTATTGATAATGTGTATGGCTATATTATTATACAGCCATACACATTCAGTTAAAACAACAATAAAATGTTGATTAGTTTTCAAGTCGTTGTCAAGTGATCAGTTAGTGAATTATAAAAGTAGGGTCTGTAAACTTTTAGTGGTGGAGCCAATAATTTACAGCCGAGTTTTTTTTTTCTAGACGGTTATTATCGTTGACTCAAAAGAGTTATAAAATATGAGCCCAATGACTTGGTGACGCAAGAAATATTTTTTAGAAGACTATAGAGTTATCAAAACATTAGTTTTTAGATTCAAGCCCTGTAATGGCTAGCGCATTATAATTATCATTTGATTGCTTGCGATCCCTTAGTGGTTATTATTATATTAGACTCGTGACCATTTATCGGGCTAGTTGTCGCTTGGAAGCTTCGGGAACTATTAGTACCCAATTGTAAAAAAATATATCTACAAATGACTCCTAATCTGAATTTCCGCTCGTGCTGTTTGTAAAATTAGACAAAATTGGGCCTGATATTGCATTTGCATCAGAGGAAATGAACATATCTTGATCTATAATTGCATATCTAGTAGATTAAAATACCATAAATATATACTTTTGCTGTAATAACCAATGGTATTTTTAACTCACACAAATGTATATTCTAATTCTTGTGCGTAAGTACGATGAATTAAGCATTAAAATCAATAAAAGTGCGTCAATGATCAGCAGCAGTTTTACTGCAGAACAGACCAACACCAGTGGACGCTGGCCGCAAGCAGATGTCTTTGTCACTTAATTCCATTTTAAAATGTATTATTTTTTAAATAAATTTATTTTGAAATGCAACCATTTTTCGAGTATTACTCTGAATAATAATGTAACTAATCATATCCGAATGTAAGTAAACAAGTGCTAACGTATATATAAAATTCAGCCCGAAATAATGATGTCATGAGATAATTTCTTGTCTCAGATCACAAGACGACTGCGTGAGTCGCCACAAGCGCCGCTCGTCCATCGTCGTCATCCCGCCCATGCAAGTGTGTCCAGGAGACCTACTTGTGTACTCCAAGGTCCTCACACAGAGAACCAATTTACTCGGTACGTGAATCATTTTTATACAAAATGTTTGGTAAAGTAACGATAGCACTTCAGTATTTCAACGCCACTTTAATTCTTAGTGGGACTTTGCATGGGCCACCACCCCAGAAATTGCGCTCATAACTTTCTTCTAAGAATTTTTGGTGGTGAGAAATTTGAGAAAGTAATACTTGTCACTTGTTTGAGTGGTACGCACAATGCTCGTCACTCGCGTGAGTGGTGCGCATAATGTCCACTACTCGTGTTAGTGGTGCGCATAATGTCCGTCACTCGTGTGAGTGGTGTGCATTATGTCCGCTACTCGTGTGAGTGGTGCGCATAATGTCCGTCACTCGTGTGAGTGGTGCGCATAATTAATGTTCGCCACTCGTGTGAGTGGTTAGCTACAGTTTATTGTTGGCCATATGCAGAGTTCTTCCATGAACTTGAATCTTTCAATTGGGAACTTTCAATTACAGCATTACAAACATATTATACGAAAATTTCATCATTGAACCTCCCAATCTGATTTCATGATTTGTTGTGTTTTTACAAGCTTTTATTTTGACACTATTATCGCTTTCCAACATAGTTGATTAAGTTTTGCAATCATTGTTATAACACAAAAAATACATAAAGGTGATCGTTGCGCATTCGTGCATGTTAAGCCGCCGTGAACTTTATTGTTAAAAGTAGTTTCTTTCTCGGGATTAATCTGGATACGAACTTAGTCTACAATCTAAACCGCAGCGCCGGAAGTTCGAGTAAGCTAACTACGGGAAGAAGTGACGTGGCACCGCTGTATCTTAGCCTAGACGTCGGCGAAGATACTGCTCAAGAATGGCTACGTCACTCAGTCGTATTGATTCAGGGACATTACTACCATCCATCATCAACTGACATCGTATACCCGCATTTTTTCATAGATTATGACCTCTGCTTCCTTACTTTCTATACATACATTCTGTTAAATCGTTGAATATATTCATCATGCAAATGCGTGCGGCTTTGGGCCATTACAGCAGATAGCATCGAGAATATAACTATATGAGGCTTCCCTCCCTGCCATCAGAATATGATCTTCCCAAGTCAATAATGATACCACAAAACACAGTTGAGTTCAGTAATTGATAGAGTACCCAGGTTGAATTCAGTCACTACATTAGTAACTGAATTTTTTAATGTTAATAATAATTAATAATTCAGTTACTACATTAGTAGCAACTGGATAACCCCCTCACATTACTATAGCACACTTATATCTTAGTCATTACCATAGCCACACTTTAATATACCCATCATTGATCTTAGTCATTACTATAGCCACACATTACTACAGCCATACATATTGCTATAGCCACTTATTACTATAGCCATACATATTGATACAACCACATATTACTATAGCAGCATGCATTACTAAAGCCACACATTACTATGACCATACACATTGCTATAACCACATATTACTATAGCCATACACATTGCTATAGCCACATATTACTATAGCCAAACGCATTACTATAGCCACATAATACTTTAGCCATCCACATTGCTATAGCCACATATTACTATAGCCACATGCATTACTAAAGCCACTCATTACTATAGCCCACTTATATCTTAGTCATTACTATAGCCACGCACTAGACAAGGATTCTTTGAAGAAACGAGCACTGATCTGTTCTTGCTTCTGATTGCTGGTGATCCATATGCTCATGAAGGAACATGGCGACACATCCTTAATCTCATCAAGTCTAAATTTGGTGTTCAGAATTTAAGCAAAATCTCGTGTGAGAAGCATGCTGGAACATCATTCTCTCACATGGGGGCGGCACTTGACCCAATGCGAATATTTAGCGAGTGAGCCCAACACGCGGGTCACGGCATATTTATACATATTTTTGTTGAAAGAATATAAATGAAAAAATTATAAATTAAAAAAATTTTTTTTTGTTTTCCACTTTCCGTTTCATGGAAATGCACTGCTCAGTCCAATGTCACCTGCGATTATTATTTTGATTGTACGTGATTGATGACAGTGAAGTGATTGATGATTGTGATGTGATTGATGATTGTGATGTGACTGATGATTGTGATGTGATTGACGATTGTGATGGGATTTATGATTGTGATATGATTGATGATTGTGATGTGATTGATGATTGTGATTTAATTGATGATTGTGGTATGATTGATGATTGTGATTTGATAGATAATTGTGATGTGATTGATGATTGTGATGTGACTGACGATTGTGATGTGATTGATGAGTGTGATATGATTGATAATTGTGATGTAATTGATGATTGTGATGTGATTGATGATTATGTTATGATTGGTGATAGTGACGTGATTGATGATAGTGATGTGATTGATGACAGTGATGTGATTGATGATTGCGATATGATTGATAATTGTGATGTGCTTGATGGTTGTGATATGATAGATGATTGTGATGTGATTGATGATTGTGATGTGACTGATGATTGTGATGTGATTGATTATTGTGATGTGATTGATAATTGTGATACGATTGATGATTGTGATATAATTGATGATTGTGATATAATTGAGGATTGTGATGTTATTGATGATTGTGATATGATTGATGATTATGATGTGATTGATTATTGTGATGTGATTGATAATTGTGATATGATTAATGTTTGTGATGTGATTGATGATTGTGATATGATTGATGATTATGATGTGATTGATGATTGTGATGTGATTGATGATTGTGATATGATTGATGATTGTGATATGGTTGATGATTGCAATGTGATTAATGGTAGTGATAGGAATGATGATTCTGATGGAATTAATGATAGTGATGTGATTGATGTTGGCGATATAAATGATAGAAGTGATCTTATCGATGATTGTTTGAAAGTGATGTTATTGATGATAGTTATGTAAGTGATGATAGTGATGTTATTCATGGTAGTGATGTGATTGATAATGATGTGTGAACTTAACCTTGAAGCGTATGTAATGTGAATAACCTTTTTCCTAACTCATAATAATGGTTGCATGAAAAAACAAAGCTAGAGGTCATGCACTGCACGGACACACAATAGTCATGCATACAGGCATAAGTTAGCAGGCATCTGATGTTGAAATAACGTTAAAAGAACGTTTATTTCAGGTTGGAATGTTAATCGACTAAATTTAAACATTGAATCAAGGTCGAAATGAGGCCAACACTCGAAGAGACCTAGAACATATTAACGTTGAAGCAACGTCGATCTTGGTACGTTGAAATTTGAACTATTTTCCAACGTTGATTATTCTTCATCACACCAACATATAGAACGATGTACATGCGTGTGTATGTCTATTTATATTAGTATTTTATGGCAGAACTTTCTTGCTTATATGCGTACAATTAACAATTTTTATTTTTTAATGAAATAAACTATTAATAGGAAATAAACTATTAAATAAACTATTATATAAACAAATAAACTATTAGTAAATATATATATATATATATATAATATATACGAGTATATTGATGCAACTAGTGTAGTCAGCCTATATTTTCAAACGTTTACCAAGCGTCCTATATCTGTATTCATATTTTTTAGGCCAAGTTTATGCCAAATAAATTGAACTGCATTTTCATACACTTCACGGCTAAAAGAAATTTCATCTCGTCTGTAATTTGCACTGTTTGGTCTGCAAATGTATCGAGACGCTGGTGTATACCATAAAATGTTGACCATAAAATGTTGATAGTGTCTACCATAAATGTTGGTAAAACTCCTGACCATCTTCAGAACTCATATTGCACTACTCTTATACTTTCTTATTAAAGCCGGATCACTACTCATCATAATTTTAAAACATATTTTGGAGATTTTTCCATGCCGCAAACAACTGTTGAATCAGGAACTTTCATTAAAATGAGATTATTAGGCTTTTCGAAAAACTGAACAAAAAGACAGAAACCTCACTTCTCCGTAGAGAAAAGAGCACTCAATTTAGTTATGTAACAAACATTTTGTCCATGGTCATCCATTTGCGAAAAGTGAAGTAAGTAGTAAAGCCGGTAAAGGTCAGTAGCTATCTTTAGCCTCCCAGGCTTGCAACAAAACATTCATTGTTAAAATGTCACTGCCAGCCATGTTATTGGTTTCCTCATTCCCAAAACAAAAGTAACTCGAGTCGGACTTAGTTTGACGTCATGCAAACGGCTGGTGATTCTCAGTAAAACCTTGCGTGTCTAGGCAATAACTTCAAGGCACTACGTGAACTCGTGTAGCTGCAGCGATGCTACCGTGTCGTTGAGCTACTAAAGTCATGTTCCGCGCTTGCCTTGCGTGACCGTTCTTCCGTGATTGCGGGATGCGTTCCTGACATTTTTTGCCCTTTGTTTAGACTTAGAAATATGCTCAGTTGTGAAAGAATGTAATAGTTAGCCCTACAGAAGAGAATGTAATAGTTAACCTTTCAGAAGAAACAATATTATATGTTTAATGCTCTTAAAGCTGCATTCAAATCTACTTTAATGTAAAAAATTATATATTTAAAGAAAGCGGTGAAAAATAATTTCATTTTAGAATTTTAATTGGATTAAAGCGTATTAACACTTAAATATGCAAACGGAATTCTCTACTGTAAATGTATGAAAATGAACCATGAGCGATGATTATAAATGGCGGATCAGAAAATGATTTCATCTCATTCATATTTTCCGGCCTAGTGTTAATTTAACCGAATTAGTATTTCCATAACAGTTGTCTGGAGGTGCTAAAATATTTCATATCTAAATTGTTAATACAACCTTGATTTCCTAATGGACATTGGAGGATATCGCAACGATTCTTATTACGAAATTAATGATGATTAGTGTCTCTAATCCTATTAGTTAATCAGAAGAAAAATGAACACAAACTCATATAATTGAGTGAAACCTGATCCATATATCGATGAATTTTTTGCTTCTGTGAGGGTCATCCTGACACAGTTTGTCCAGAAAATTGTCAGGTCAGAGGGTCTTACATACGGCCCGG